AATTATGATTAAGCTCTCCATACAGGGGGTAGAAATAAAATTTTAGTTGCTTGTTTATTTAATCCTCTGAATCAAATTAGCAAAATGGAAAAAGTAAAATGTTCTTTTTGCCATAAGATGTCTAAAAATTGACCTTGAACTAAATAGCATGCAAGAAACAAGCGTTTTTTTTCTCTATATATAATATATATAATAAATATTACATATATATATATATACAGTCGTATGACAATTTATTATGGCCACCCAATAAATTTTAACATACCTTACTTATCTTTTGATTTCTTGGCATTATAGTTCAAAATTATATAATTTAATTTATTTGGATGCATACAATATAGTTATACGTTGACAAAATTATTTAAAATTTTATGCTGGTGTAAACACTGTCATTTTTGACAGCCATTTTGTGTGATGCCATCTTGAGACCGCTATTCTTACAGTGCACGTGGTGAATACTCTCTGTTAGTTTTGGTATATTTTTCAAAGTTATCAATTAAGTAAGTACTCAAATCGACTAATATTACTTTAAGAATATTACATTACATAAATTAACATAAAAATATTTTTATTTCACTCAGTATTTTGTGATTAAAATTATTTTAAGTAATAATAGAAATTTTCGTACTAAAATTGGTTATTTTTTTAGAAATGGGCAAAAAAAAGAACTTATCTCTAGAAAAAAAGTGAAATCCAAGCACTTCTTACAAATACTGGTTTTTCCCAAAGAGGAATCGCCAGAAGCTGTAATGTTTCTAGAGTGTCAGTGCAAAATATCCAAAAAAAAATTGTCAACATGGAAAACTCCAAAAAGGACTGGGAACTGTGGTAAAAAAAGAGTTCTTACTCCACGAGGTGAAAGAATTCTTACCAAAATAGTATTGGAAGATAGGCTAGCATCAAATGATGATATCACTGAGAAGTTGGAGAGCTCTGGTATTAAGATGTCCAAGAGAACGGTTTAGCGTCGTCTATACGAACGTGGCTACAGCTCAAGACGTCCGGCTAAAAAGCCAAAATTAACCCCAAAAATGATGGAGAAGCGATTAGAATGGGCAAAAAAATATAGAAATTGGACTGAAGACGATTGGAAAACGGTATAACAGATTATTTTATTAAATAATACTTTAAATTTTTAAGATAATCCATGCATTGTGGTCAATGAACCATCGTATAATATTTTTAGGTTTGCTTTAGTGATGAGAGCACATTCCAAGTCTTATCAAAAAAAGCACAATACGTGAAAAGGAAGGTTGGAGAGAAATATTTAAGTAGCTGTATTATTCAAACCGTCAAACATCCAACCTCGGTGATGATTTGGTCGGTTATTTGTGGGAAAGAAATGGGAAGGCTGTACATTGTTCAAGGGATAATGAACCAGGTGCAGTATAAAAATGTCCTGGAACAAAGATTGTTACCCCAATTGACGGAATGGTTTGGTCCTGAGGAAAACAAAACATTCATGCAAGATGGAGCACCATGTCATCTGGCTAAGTCTATCAAAATCTTTTTGAAAAATAAAAATATTCCTTTGTTGGACTGGCCGGGAAATTCGCCGGATCTCAATCCTATAGAGAATGTTTGGGAGCTATTAAAAAAGGAGGTGGCCAAGGAAAATATTACAAACAAGGTGGTTCTAATAGAAAGTATTATAAAACATTGGAACCACAAATGCAAGATTGAAGGAAATGGCAGAAAACTGCATAAAAAGCATGCCTAAAAGGGTACAGGCAGTAATCGATGCAAAAGGAGGGGGGGGGGTTACAAAATATTGATTGTAACTAAGATATTATATGAATATTTTTTATTAAAGTGTATTTATTCTTATAAAATGGTAATTTTTTATTAACACACAACCTGATTTTTTATTTGAATACGTCTTTGGTAGATAAAATTGTAAAAACTGATGGAAAATCACAATTTTTCTAGAGTTTCTAGAAAAAATGTAGGTGACCATAATAAATTGTCATACGACTGTATATATATATATATATATATATATATATATATATATATATATATATATATATATATATATATATATATATATATATATATATATATATATATATATAATATATATATATATATATATATATATGTCAGGCCTTGCGATAAAGCGTCAGGCAATGTGAATTTTATGTCGTCCAAGAGCTATTTTGCGTGTAGCTAGGGCTATTTGCGTTAAGCAAAAAATTTTTTGTTTGAGTATATTTAAAGATAATTTTGAGCGGAATTTTAATTAAGTAATTTACGATTATTTTAACATTTAATAAAGTATATTAAAAACTGCACGCAGGTGATATAAAAGTTTGAAGTACAAAAAAAATTAAATATGCTCATTATTTACAAGTAGAAAAAATTTAGATTAAAAAATCTTTTTTAGCTTACATTTTAATAAAATTATTCAGCAATAGCAAAGTTGTTGATAAAATTGAACAAAAATACTTTTTTTTAGTTTTAGATTTTTAACTTAAATAATAATTTTATGGGGGTTTGTTAGGTTTTAAAACTATTTCATAGGTTTAAAAATATATATTAACTGTTAGATGTATTTAAAGTATTGGTAGGCACAAACAAAAAAAAAAAAAATGGAATAATATTAAAACGTATTCTACTTGATTCAATAAAAAAGTACAGTTATTAAAATTTTTGTAAAAGGTAACTCAAAAAAAATTACTTAAATAATAACATTCCCTTTTTTGTTAAAAGTTACCGAAACTCAACGAAGCGTGCTCATGAAGCGTGCTCAAGAAGCGTGCTCAATTCTAACATTTTATTTTATTTTATTTTAGTAGAAATAAAATTCCTTGTAAACATTAAAAATCTATTCAAAACATTCGTTAAAGTTTTTTAGTAATAAAAGTGATTGTGCTTATCAACCGCCTTATAAGAATAAATAAAAATAAATAAATAAAAAAATGTTATATAAAATCGCTAGTAAAAATATTAGCTATTGGACAGTTTTTAATCGTACAATATTAAAATTTCCAGTTTATTACTCGCTGACTTTTTAAAAAGAAAAAATAGTTATTTGAAAAACTTTAAATTACATATTTGAGAAAAAAAAATCAAATATATATATTTATAATCTTTTTTAAATGTTTAGTTATAATGTTTTTTATTCATTTAGAATAAACAAAACGTGTCAAACGTCGAGAAAATAAACAAATGTTTTTACATTTTAAAAAACGAAACATTCCAAAACATTTTTAAATAATAACATTTCTACATTAATGATTTAAAGTAGTTTTGCGGTAATTAAGTAAATTGTTGCAGTTAATGTCGATAAATATGAAAAGCAAATAAAGAGAATTTTTTTACCTTGTCTCTTAAGCTGCATTTTATTGTCGTGGAAATGTCAAAGCAATTAAATTAATGCGAAAGTACATTAAATTTTATTGTTTTTAAAAAAAAACGCAATAATAATGACTAGAAAGTTTTTTTTAATTAGTGGTGTTTTTGTTTTATTAAAAAACATTTTTAAAACATGTGTAAGTATTGCTACATTGACTATCTTACAGCCTGTTGCTACATGGGAGTGTTGCTACATCGACTATTTTATAGCCTGACTCGCAACGGAGTGCTGCTACATCGACTGACAAATAGCCTGACTCACAAGGGAGTGCTGCTGCATCGTCTGACAAATAGCCTGACTTGCAAAGGAGTGCTGCTATATCGACTGAAAAATAGCCTGACTCGCAAGGGAGTGCTGCTACATCAACTGAGGATTTGGTTTGGGCAGGCAATCAGAGTAAACAGTTGACTCGAGTTGTCTGCACTAATAATGCTTGCGATCATCTTTTTTACATTTTTTGAAATTTATATATATCATAGAGAAATTGTGATAATTGATTAAGATTTAGTTATAACTTTGTTTAAATTTTGAAACTCTTATTTAGTATATATTTAGATTTATTTTTGTACTAAATAAGTTTATTACCCTTCTCATGACTTTTTTTTTTCGCACTTCAAAAGTTTATTAAATGATAAATGAGTTTTTATGAATGAATTGAATTTTTTTGAATGAAATGAGTTTAAAATAATAACTGGAAATGTTAATATTTCATTTAAAGTCTAAATAATAATCCAAGCTTTTGATTAGTGAGAAAAAAAATGTGTAAGAATTTTACAATTTAAGCAATTTAAACAATTTATAGTCTTCGCTTCCTTCATCGATTATTGCTGTTTTATTCTCTAGTTTCTTATAGTTTTATTTTGCTAATTCTTAAAATGCTCACTATATAAAAATGTGGTCAAGTTGTCTAAAAAAATTATTTTGAGCATGGACGAACAAGGTGTGCGAACGCACACACTACCCGGGAAAGCTTGTTCTGAGTACTATGTGTGTTTTGAGACTCTAATAGTCACAGTCAATTTCTATAATCAATTGAAAAAATAGCTTAAGTATTAAAAACACAAAAAAATCATCTTGATTACAAAGGTCTTTAAATTTAACATTCACTAATATTCGTGGTCTTTAAAGAAACTTTTCTTTTGTTGAGTCTTACCTCTTGCAATTTCACCAAACCTACTTGCTTTTAATAAGACTTATTTGTGAGTGTTGATGGATATATTCCTTTAATTCATAAAGACTCTAATAGTCACAGTATTGCTACATCGACTATCTTACAGCCTGCTGCTACAAGAGAGTGTTACTACATTGACTATCTTATAGCCTGACTCGCAACGTAGTGCTGCTACATCGAGTGACAAATAGCCTGACTCACAAGGGAGTGCTGCTGCATCGACTGACAAATAGCCTGACTTCCAAGGGAGTGCTGCTATATCGACTGAAAAATAGCCTGACTCGCAAGGGAGTGCTGCTACATCGACTGAGGGTTTGGTTTGGGCAGGCAATCTATCATTTAAAAAAAAAAAAAATTTAAGTTTTTCAACATTTTCTGGTCAGGTTTATTAACGCGCTCTTTAAAACAACAGTTTATGGGGAAAACTTTGCGACTACCATGCAAGACTATATATAAATACATATTTATTAAAGTTTAAAAAATTTTTTTTTAGATATTATTTTACCCTTTAAATTTGATTGTAAATAGGAGTACTAACTAATGTGCTGCTTGTTTCATATGGACTTGAAAGGTTTATTTAGTACATTTAATCCAAGGTAAGATTAACAGTTTTTTATTTTTTGTACAAAAAATGTTAGCACAAAGAAAACTTGTGTTCATTATTGTATCTTTCTGTTTTCAGAGTTGTATGTGTAGTTAATAATTAAATTTAATTGTTGTATATTGTATGACTAATTAAAGAAAGTTTTAATGACTCAGGCTTGGTCGGGAAGCGGGAGCGATCGCTCTCGAATACTGACCACGGAAATTATATTTAGTTGCGAAAAACTGGCCAGGTTTTTTAGTCTTTTTGAGAACATTTAAGTTTATGTACGAAACAAAAAAATTTTGTTTTACGGACATACATGGAAACATAAACAACATGAATGTTCTCAAAATATCTTGGTGCGAAAGAATAAAAAGAATATTCGCGAACACTAAAAACCCGCCAAATTAATGAACAACCTAATTCTATTGGTTCAAAAAAAACGCTGACTAAGCGAAATAAAGTTTTAATAAGAAATAATTTTTTTAAATAAAGAGTATTCTGTTGAAATGTTTTAGAAATTGTATTATTCACGATTTGTTACATTTTGAGATTTCTAGCATAAATTGTTTTAAGAATATATATTATTTGTTTACAAAAATAAATGTTTTAAATATATATTAATTAAATTGTCAAAATTTTAAAAGTTTATTATAAATTATAGATTTTATTAGTATATTCTTATTTTTTATTTAAAAATTATGTATTCTTTATGTAAATGTAATTGTGTGTATCTGTTTTTTATTGCAATGTATCTTTTAAAGCAATTTTTATGATTTAAACAAAGACTTACAAAAATATTTGCGTTTTCAATGAAGTTATAATTGTCCAAATTAATAAAATTAATTATGTAACAAACATATAAGAAGTTTCTGGTTACTAAACACAAACAATGCATACAAAGAAATATAAAGAAAAGTTTCTAGATATTGGTTTACTAACTCTAATTATTTTTGCTTAAGTTGCCATTCTTAAAAACTCGTTATACTTTTTTTTGTTTTAAATACTAATTAAAGTTAATAAGCCCACTTACTAAACATCATCAGCGTTATTGTGAAGCAGTTTCGCTTCCTCGTTATAAAATATTTTTAACTCTTTTAATTTATTTCTATCTAGTTAATTTAATTTCTATAATAATTCAATGATTTAATTATTACATTTGTTTATTTTACTAAGAAGAATTGTTTCAAATATGTTAAACTTTTCAAAATACGCAAAACATAAAATAGGTATTAAAAAAATTAATTTTTTTATTTGTAAAATAATTTAGTTTAGACAAAACTAAAACTTGCAAACTTTGTTAAATTAAGAACATTTGTTTCCTTTTTAAACAATCGTAAGATGTTACTTTATATAAAAAATGTCACTTAATTTCATAGATAGGATAGGACATGGCTCAAAGATAGCCGCAAAGATAGGACATGGTAGGGAAAAAGTTTTAGTGTTTTCGATTGCTTCTCCTGGGAAAGCTTGCTGAGTTGTCTTAAAAGAGATATCATATTCAAGATCAGCTGCCTGTTCTAAGTTGTTGAAAGGTAATGACTTTTTGTAAAGACAGGAGTGTATAGTTATATCATCATTAAATAGTACAAGTTTAGAGTTAAGATTATCACAAAAATTGTTAATGTAGATCAGAAACAACACAGGACCACAAGGATTGAGCCTTGTGGTAACCCAGAAGTTTCTAGAAATAAGACTGTTGTCCATATAAGACAACATAATACTTCAATTAGAATTAGAATTAGATTAGAAAGCAGTTATTCAATAGTTCTAAAAATCTTTCCTGATACACCAAATGAAGCAAGCTTTGGAAAAGACCAGATCACCAGACATAATTGAAAGTCTTTGATATACAAAGAAAAATAGCCCTTACCTCTCCGCTTCGATCTAATGTATGATAGAACCTTTCTGTTATAATGTTTAACATGTTAGCAGTATAACAAAATGATTGAAATATGTATTGATCATCAGAGAGTAAAACTCAAGATGAGATAGCTTGATAGTTATATGTTTAAAGACTTTGATAATAGTAAAAAGACTGATTTAACAATAGTAAAAGGGGTCTGAGTATCCCCCTGAGCTTTAAAAAAAGTTGGAACCACTCATGTAATTTTCCAGCAGGCATGAAAATAAGATTCAGTTAAACACTAGTTAAGTAATTCAGTGTGTAATAAAGAAGGTTCTGTAGAACACTTTTGCAAGACTGTGAAAGAAATATTGTTTGGACCTTAAGTTGTACAAGAATTTAATTGGAAACAATTTTAGCAACAGAAGTAAAAGTGATTCGTATATCTAATAATAAATTAACTTGTTTCTTTGGGATGACAGGGAGAGTCTGTTTATTTGATTTTAGAGATAAGTTAGAGGAAAAGTTGTTTGTAAAAATTCTATACTTTATCCTTGGTAGTAGTAAGATCAGATCTTTCATGTATAAGAGATGGAATGTTGAACTTGCTTTTATTAATAACATAGTTAAAAGTTTTCAAAAGTCCCCAAAACTTAATTTTTAATAAAATACTAGATTTAGTAATCTGCGAATAATGGACCATCATGCATCAGACAGTATTTTTTTTGCATTGTTTTTTTTTACAATAATAAAAATATATTTGTTTTCTAGAGAGTTGATCTTTTAAAAAGATGAAAAAAATTATTAGGATTAGAAATAAGAGCTGCGCAAGATATAGTAAATCAGACTTGAATCTTATGAGAATATAAGTTTTTATGTCTGCCTGTACCCACAAGATTATAAAGGAGGTGGAATTTACAAAGAGGCAAAAGACATTAGCCTAAAAACTGTCATAAATAAAATCACAAAAATATCCCAGATTAATTCCAAATAGTCATTTAGCCTTAAAGTAAGACTAATAAGTATGGTAATAGGGTGAGTCTGATGATAAATAAATCAAGAATAAAATTTTTACTAAGGTCATATAACATGTTCTACCATCCAGGGGTGAAAAGGTTAAGTTAAGCACAAGCTATGGTTCTAGACAAGACACAAATCAAGGAGCAAGATTGGATTAGGATAAAGGTGATTAGGATAAGGTAAGATTAGGAGAGTAAAGGTTGTTTGGTAAATGCGTCACAAAATTAACTACTTGAACTAGAGATTAAAAAATAAAAAAAAAATTTGACGTCTTTGATTTTATTTTGTTTGTTTAAAGTATCAATTAAATAAACCCTTTCGGATCCCTTCAAAAAGTTAAAAAAATTTTTTTTTTGATTAAAGCAAGATAATAAACATATACCAAGAAAAACTTTTTAGTTTTTAATATATTCAAGCGCATTTTCAAGTGTCTCTTTAAGAGTTTCCCTTTAAAAATGATGTCATTGTAGAAATAATCATATTTTTAATGCAAATTTTGCGAAAATTAAAAAAGTATGATAACTAAACAAGTTGTTTAGTTAGATTGTGTTATAAAAGCGCATATTTTAAAAACTTAAATTCTGACTAAAATGGAGAGTGTGAGCTTTCACAAAAACTACTAAGTCAGTTTTTATTTTGGTATACAATGTTTATGTTGTTTTAATCACAAAAATTCTGCCCAAACACTTTTGAAAAACATTTTCTTTAAAATAAACACAACTTGTATTGGTACTTAGAAATCCTTTTATGTTTGGAGTTGGTACAATATCTAAAAGTGTTGCAAAAAAATACAAATAGTGCTACTTTATAGCTTGCCAGTCAGTGTGGTCAAAATACTATTTTAGTGTCAGGTATGGATTCCATGATCCTTAAAATCTATAACTAGATGTATAATGTTTAGATGTTTTCTATTTTTGCTAACTTGTGGTTTATTCTGACCCACTGTGCATTGTTATAAAACAAAATAAGGAAAAAAAAAGCTTTTTGAGTGTTTTGTCGAAGGTTTGAGCTTTTAATCCCAGATTCTTGTAGATTATATTTATATAAAAATAAAATAAAGTTGAGTTCTCACTTCGACTATAGTGTTCCCCTGGACCTTGGAGAGGTTTAAAAAAAAAAATACATATATGTAAAACATTTTTTTCAATAAATCTACTAATAAATCAATAAAAAATTTACTAATAATTGTCTGGTTGCCCAGTTGAGGGGACTAAATGTTACTTTTTTTGTGTGATTTCGCGTGCTTTATGAGAGAAGTAGTTCTATAATACAGCCTCATAATATTGCATTGCAGTCTGAACAGTCTTCTCAAATGTTTTATTAGAAAAAAATTTTTTTTTGCATTCTCAAAAGTTTTAATGCAAAACATTTTCAAAAGAAAATATTTAAATCATTTTAATTATTGTAATAATATTTTATTTGCTAGCTACCTTTAAATGTAACTTTTGAAAAAATAACTATTTTATTAGAGTTAACATTTTTTAATGTCAAAGGTAGTATAGAAAATAATACTATCAATCTCTGTTATATCTTGATAGTCTTATACCATTTTTTTTTTTTTTAAAGTTTTTAATAAAAATATTTTTATTTTTTTTAGTAAGTTTCTAATATATGCATCACTTTTGTTATTTGCTATTTTTCTTGGTTTACGTCTTGATGGGTTTTTGCTGTGGAGTTACTATACTGTCTTTATACCTTTATGGATTTGGAAAGCAGTCGTACTTTTTGGTGCTGCCATTGGACTTCTTATATGGTTAAAGCATCCAGAATATAGGTGAGCGGCATAGTTTTTAAGTAAAGTGCTGAATTATAAATTTGAATAGTCTATATTTTAAAACCATAAATATATTTTACAGTTGCTCAAGTATCTTTATAAACATTTTTTTAAAAGAATTTTTAAATCACAATGTTGTTAAAAATATTACCAGTTTGTCATATTATTTTAATGTTGAATATTTTTCTCTTTTTTACAAATACTACCACATCCTCTGTTTATCTACTAAAATGCAAACCTATGTGGCTTATTATTTAAGAAAGTGGCATACTTATACTATAACTATAACTACTATTTACTATAACTATTACCGACTTTTACTAATTGTTCCTTCATGCTCAAAAAACTGACCACTCATGTAAACCATATATACAAGCCATCTGAATTGTCCCAAAAAGATCTTAAAGGGGTAGGAGGTGACTTATCTGCTTTTTGCTGACAGGAAACTAAAAAAACTGACTAACAACCAAAAAAAAAAGTCCTTTTATACCAACGTTCACAGACTGACAAATATAGTTCTAAACTTGCGAACTACAATTCTAAAGTTGCTTCTCTTTATTGTGCTCACCAGTTTCTGCCTCTATTAATCTACCTCTTTCTACCTATATAAATCTCTTACTTAATCTTGTATGGAATATTTTTGGGTTGATCTTTCTAATGAGGCCCTCTCTCTTCAAACAAACCCCAAAATTGTATCGCAAAAACTATTAGACTTTATCTGCCAAACGTGATCTTGTCCCATTGCTGTAAAGTTGTATCACTTTTCTACAAAGACTACCATGGTTGCTCCCAAAACAACCTATCATCACTTGTTTCATCAATCAAAATTCAATCACTGTCACTTGTCATCAGCAAACAGGTTTGTTGGTTAGTGAGTTTTTTCAAAACTTTGTTAGTGAGCGGAAAAAAAAAAGAAAAACTTTAATGCTATAATTTGCAACAGAAAAATTATATTAGATCAATCAAAATTTAAAACCAAAATAAAAAATTTTAATTAATAATGAACAACACAAGTAATGAACAATATAAACAGCAGTTAATGTAGCCTTCTTTAGCTTTATAACACATGTTTTCCGCAAAGATTTTTATAATAGATAATGCATGATACAAATGGTTTAAGTTGTTTAATAATATGTTCAAGCTTTTATTCTTGTTATTTTATTATTTTTATGTTTGTGTGACTTTTTTTTTTTGCACCCCACTGTTTATATACACATTATTATTAAATATAAAAGGTGAATACTATATATATATACAACCCTCGGAATTAGGGTCGGCATTTGGCAATGCCGACTTAACTGCTGACCTGAAAGTGTTTGAGGTTTGCAAAAAACTTCTGACCTCGTTTCTGTGTTTTATGGTCAGAGCTTTGTATCAAATAATTTTTGTTGACCTGATGCCCAGCTCAAAAAGATTGAGGTTGGCAAATTATTGCCGATCTCATTTTTCCTAATTCCGAGGGTTGTGTATATATATATATATATATATATGTATATATATATATATATATATATATATATATATATATATATATATATATATATATATATATATATATATATATATATATATATATATATATTCAAATAGTTGATTCTCCAAATTGATTCTCCAAGTTGATTTAATTTGATTCTCCAAATTGGAGAATCAAACGAATGTACTTTCGTACATTCGTTTCTACGAAAGTACATTCAAATGTGCTAAAGTAAATTTTTTAATGCAACCAGGTATAGAAATTTATCAGAACTTTGCAAAGAAATCTGGAAACATAAAGATGCAGGGAACATGCTTATAATCAAGAGAACATAGTTAAAAAATGCCTACCTTACAACCCATCTACAAAAAAGTTCTTTGTATTTATGAAAAGTGTTTTATTATTACTTTTGATAGTGGATCACTACTGAACAAAAAAAGTGAATTGGTTTCAATTAAAATAAAAATTATAATAATAATAAAATGGTTTATTTCAAATATAAATTTGAAATTTTGAATTATGTTTTTAATAAAAACATATTTTTCAAACCCCCTAATTAATTATGATTGCCACATGGCAAATTTAAATCATAGGCCAACCCTTTTTTTTTAATATTTGCTATTTAAAATGCAAAACAAATTCTTTCATACCAAACTTTTTTCTTCAAAAAGGTTTTACTTTGAATTTTAAAAAAATTAAAAAAGATTTAATTAAAAAAAACAAAATGTCGACGGTAGGAATCGATCCTGGAACTCCAGCTTCAGAGCGTTGGGTACTAACCACTCAGCTACACAGACTTACAATGATATAGTTTTAAAAAGTATATAATATGTTAAAGACTTTATCAATTGGAATTAAGTGCTTCAGATCACATCTTAAGGCAATGTTGCCACAATGCAATTTTCCAGTGAAAGTAAAACTGGAAAACTTGATATATGTTTTAGTATGTTTTAAACAAATTTGAAGAAAGTTAGATATTTGCGTAAATTAGATAATAGCATACACTTTCGTTGACTTTTCTTACATAAAAAAGTGCTGCTACTCTTTCTTGCTATTACCTTGGTTGCAATGGCTGCCAAGAGTATCGTGTCAAACACTCTCCAATGAGTATTGACTTCGCTATTATATAATATGATATTAATGTATTCGCTATTATATAATATGATATTAATGTATTCGCTATTATATAATATGATTTTAATGTATCATGTATATATTATCCCTATAAGAAAATGTCTCTGCAATGCATGCATATATTTTTATGCATAACTTTTTGTATTATACAATTATCTTTATTTGTTTTTGCGTATATGCACATTTGACTTATTTGGGTAAGGCATTAAATTCGTACATGGAGTGTCTGTGGTTTGAATCCTATAACAGTCCAATTTTTTTGTTGTTGTTATAATAAATGTATATACTAAATCTTTTTATTGTATGTTTATGAATGATACATAATGGTATAAGAAATCTCATCACATTCAGATTTCTTATACCATTTAAGCATTTCATTGTATTTTTTAAGTAAGGCACAAACACATATACATAGTTTTTAAGCTTCAATTTAGCCATGCCGTCTATACATAGTTTTAATTGTTTCATATTAACTTTTTTTTTCTGTACGTTTTTTATCCGCAATTTTTTAGTGAAGACATTTCTTTTTAACATTTAGCTCTGTATGTATGTATGTATGTATGTATGTATGTATGTATGTATGTAAAAAAACAAGTTCTGATTTAATAGTTTTGTTTGTAGTTTTGTTTTCTTGTCTGTAAACAATTTATCTTTCATGTAGTTTTGGTATGCAGGTTGTTAATGAATATAATGAATAATAATTGGGCCTAATATTGAGCTTTGGTGGAACACCTTCGACTAATTCTCATTTCAAACTTGGCCACAATTACTCTTTGATCTCGGTTGGGTAAAAATGCTTTTACTCAAAGCTAAAGTATTGTTTTGTATTCCTAAAGAATCTATCTTTAAACATAGTTATTGCTTGTAAACAGAACTGAATGTTTTTCTGAACTCAGAAATTATTACAATAATATTTTGGCTACATTTGAGACAGTTTGTATTAAGGCCCATGGATTTTAAAAAATTATTAATACAGTTTTTATTATCTACTTATTTATGCTGCTGTGTAAAAAATTAGATTTCTTGCAATTATCGACTTCATAATTAATCTCAAATAACTTGTTTCTTAAGTTGACACATCAAGTTAAAGTCAATTGAAATGGATGATAGTTTGATGAGTCAAGTTTGCAAACTTTCTTAAAGAATAGATTTGCTTTTAATGATGAGTCAAGTTTGCAAAATTTCTCAAAGAATAGAGGTGGAAAGAATAACTCCTGATTTAATAACGAGTTGATTATAAAAAAAATTGAAAGAGACTGCACAAAGATTTTTAGGCATAGGTTTTGGCTAAACATTTCTGAATCCAACTGTATATTTATCCCCAATAACTTGATTAAAACCTAGGTTTGGGCACATCTATGAGTTTGATAACTGGTAGATTTAGAAAACTATTTTCAAGAATGCTGAGGTAATGAATTATTTGTTGTTGTTTCTACTTTAGTTGTGACTGAAAATATTGTTGCAGTATAGAGCTTTGATTCATGCTTTCACAGAAAGAAATTTCATGCCTTTATATGACCATGCAAATAATAATTTGTTTTAACAATTGACCACGGTTTTTAAGATGTTTTCAAAATTTAAAAATGCACTGAAAAAACTTACCTAGATAACTAAAAAAAACTTCATTTTAAAAAAGAAAAAAAATCTTTACGAAAAAGAAAATAAAAAAACTTAACTAAATTAAAACTCAACAAATTCAATCGGTAAGTTTATTTAAATAATCTTTTTTGTTAAGTTTAGAATGACAAACTTTGAATCTTTTATCTTTAATAATGTTTATATACTATTATGGGAAACCCTTATAATAAAGAAACAATTTAGTTCTGATGATTGTTTAAAAAATATTCACACAAAAATATGTTTCCATCTAAATACAGTAAGGTGCAGCTAGTAAATAATTATGCATTAAAATCCTTTCATGCTTTGTTTAAAAATTTATACTTTCGTTTTTTTTTGTTTTTGTTTTTTAAAATTTGTTTCAAAAGATTACCATTTATCATAAAAAATACATAATTATAAATTAAAAAACTATATATAAAATCATTGTTTTGAAATTTTATTAAAAAGTAAGGTTTCCAATTGGTTTTAACCAATAACCGAAACCCGCAGTTTTTTGTTAAAACCGATATAAATGAAAACCGTTGGTTTTTAAAAACTGTTTTGGCAGTTTTTCTAGTATAATGTCTATTGAATGTTTATTTATTATAGACGATTTTTTTGTAATTGTTATTTTATTATTTAGAATGTATTTTTCTGTAAAGCTTAAAGGGATCCCAAACTCCCAACACATGTTGTGTTCATATTAAAGATAATGTTAAAAAAAAAGGTTTGAACCAAATTTTTTTGTTTAAAAATAAATAATGAATGCATACCGAGAAAAACAAATGTTGTT